TATGAGAATTTCAGTACAGAGATATTTAATAATTTGGTCGTACAAGTGGAGATTTTCTGTAAAAAGGATAGCTCTGGTGGAATTTTTGAGAATAAATATGATCATGAAAGTATATGATTTTCAATTGGTTCTGATATGTTCTAGTAAGCTCTGATGTGTTTTGATATGTTCTAATATATTCTGATAAGCTCTGATGTGTTCTGATATGTTCTGATAAGCTCTGACATGTTCTGATATGTTCTGGTATGTTTTGATAAGTTCTGATATGTTTTGGTATGTTCTGATAAGCTCTGACATGTTCTGGTATGTTTTGATAAGTTCTGATATGTTTTGGTATGTTCTGATGTAAGTTTTGATTTCTGAAGTAGGGTATGTCTATGTGAAAAAGGTAAATTCTAGTTTAATATAATTGCTAGAATGGAGTTATGAAGAATATGTTGTGAAAGCTTTGTTTGTGAAGGAATTATAATTTGTATGATTTTATGTATTAATCAAAAAAAGAATGAATTTAAAATACTTAATTGTATTATCTGAAAATATATGACGTCTGTCTGTGCTTAGAAATTAACATGTAATGCAGAAAGTGAACTCGTGGGTGGAGACTTCTCCATAAACTCCGAGCTTATTGAGTTTATCTCACCCCATGTTATGGAGATATATTTCAGGTACTTCTAGTGGGAAAGATAAAGATAAGGGTAAGAGACCAATGGAAGGAGATTAAAGTTATGTTTGGAGCTGCTAGTTGCTTGGATGTATATTTTTATGAGATCTTTCTATTTATGTTTTGATGTGATAACTAGTAGAAACAGTTTTGAGAGGCCTACGTGGCCTATGTAAATATTTTGTAAAGATTAACAGACACATGTAAATATGGTTTGGTAGTTTAAAGTAAATGGCACGGAGCCATCTTTTGATGTGATTTGAAAGGAATGAATATTGTGTCAATAAGGTTATGTTGATAAGAGGAATTGAGAAATTCCTATATGTTGGAAAAACAGTGGAGATGATGTCAAAATTTATAAGAAAATGTAAGTGTTGTACGTATGACTTTGGTAAGTCATATCTCACTCAATTCTTTGTCAGTTGAGATGTGTGAGCTGTCATTTTGAAACTTAGGATGTGAACTTTAATGCTCTAAAATATGGGACAGAAAGGAGTGTAAAAACATGGTGCAGTTTGTTGTTTTGTTCGCTGCCCATGTAGTGAAGTTGACGGTAAAAGTTGATAACTTAGAAAATTCATAACTCCTCCGTTTCTTATTGAAACAAGGATTATAATATGCCAAATTGAAGGTCTAGATCTCAACCATAACATATTAAAAATTAAGAGAAAATAGGTTAGTGGTTTTACTGCAGTTTGCAACACTGTAAAGCAGTGCATTCTCGCTGTTGATGTATGTTGACAGTTTTGAGCAGTAAACTTATGGTAAAGATATCTGGAGTTATAGAAGTACAAATTAAGCTCATGATACCTCATTGGAAAGCTTATAATGTCTAGTTTAACATACTGGAAGATGTAAATTTAATAAAATAAATATCAAGTGAAGTTTTCACAAAATCGAACATATATAAGGTTGGTACGTTGCGTAAAAATGTATCGTTGCTTCATTGAACCACTTAGCATTCTTTGTATGTGATATTTAAGCAGTAGAACTTGTATTCCGCAAATGTTTTGGGTTATGATCATTTTAAGGAAATTGTTCTGAATATGGTGGTTTTAAAATGAAAATGTAATGTTTTAAAGAAAAAAGTTTACTGTATTTTAATTCAATTACCGTGATTATAACTAAGCTTAATATCATAAGTGTGTCAATGCATGAGTTTATGCTTCTAAATGCAGTCTAGAGAGATATGACTCAATAAACTCAACTTCATACATCCTAAGACTCAATAAACTCAACTTCATATATCCTATGACTCAAAAAGAATATGTGTCATGTTCTTCAATTATTTTCAAGTGTCTTCATTCTTTAAGTTTTCTAGTTCCTTCATTCATATTGAAACTTTGACTTTGATGTTGACTTTGCACATTTGAATTACTTTTTTACTTTTGCATGTTGTCTTGATCTTCTAACTTCATTTAGGACTTGTTGCACTACCTTCTAATTTGTGCATTAATATTGAACTTGTTGGTGTTTTGTAATCATCTAAACTTCAAATATATAAGCTTGAAAACCAAAGGTTCAACAATCTCCTCCTTTTAAATGATGACAAACACTAAACACTTCATTGAGAAATAAGGTTAGTAGCACAAGAAATCAGAATTAAACTCCCCCTAACTATATGCTCCCCCTTAATAAAATACTTGGTAAAAACGTTTACAATCCCCATAAAAAGTAAAATTTCTCCTCCTTTGAAAAACAATAAAGGAAACATAGAATTTCTGAATATATAATACAAATACAAATGAAGTAATACAAATACAAATGAAAATAGTAAAATACAAATAACTAAGTTTTTTCAATATATAAATATAATTTTCTTAAAGTATATTAAATGTAAGTTTAAATTAATTCATTAAAATATAATAAATGTTCAAATAATTTCATAAAACACACTTAAATATAAGTTTGACTTTTGAATATTAGTATAAATTAAGTGTCAATAGTATAATATATGTGTGTAATAAAAATTAATACAATTCAATTTAATTGATTTTTTTATTTCTAGCAACGTAGCTAAATCATCAATATTTTAGGTTTTGATTTCAGCTATTTGCAAAATAATAATTATCTATAATTTTCAGAGTACAACATGCTACTTTTGAAAGTTTGTAGGCTTGATAGGACAGATCAAAACTTGTAGATTATATTGTATAAGGTTTGAAATATTTTACATAGGTAACTCATTTACAACTATAATTAAATATTATCGCCTTCATAATATGAGACATATGAATAATCAAAGGCGGTCCACATATACAAAATTAATATTTTGTAACTGAGAATTTTTCTTTTGAATTTTTATTTTCGTAAATTTCTTTCTTTTATACTTTTTTCTTTTATAAAAATGAATAGGATATTCTGACACCCAAGTTATGTTACACCCATGTGACACCCAGTCAATCTCACCGTTAGACCGTTTATGTTGATCCAACAGTTATATTTATTTCCATATTTGTATGGTCATGATTTCCCAAATTTAATATTTAATATTTATTTCTACCTTTGTATGGTTATGATTTCCCATATTTAATGCTTTCACTTTAAATTTGGGAAATCATGACCATACAAAGATGGAAATAAATATAACCGTTGGATCAACATAAGCGATCTAACGGTGAAATTGACTAGGTGTCATATGGATGTAACATAACTTAGGTGTCACAATATCCTATCCCTTATAAAAAAAACTTAAAATTTTTCTCATTCTAAATTTAAGAGAGCATGCTCCAGGGGTGATTTGTCTTTTCATCAAATGAAAGGCGGAAACAAGGACGGAGTTTGACTCATAAAGTGAAGACATTGAGGGAGGGAGAAAGTAAGACAACATAGGCAAATACGATGTCAAGAAACTCACGTGGTTACCACGTGAGGTGAAGGGACTGAAAAGTTTTTTTTTATGAGAAACATAAAACAAAGTCACGAGTACTGTTGGCTAAGAGTTTGGTCCATATTTCTTAAGGTGTGGGTTCAAACTCTGCTGGCTGATGTGAGAATTTTATTGGTGGGTGATATGTAATCCCTCTCAGAAATTCTTAAAGAGGTTGGAGGATCTTCCCTGATCCTAATGAAATATCAGTGTCTAACTCCACTTAAATTTTTTTATTAAAAAAAAAAAAAAACATAAAATAACAGTTGATTAGTATCACTTATCCGTCAATGAATTACTGACATGGTAAAACAGTATCATAAAAGTTATGTATATTTATAAAAATAAATTTCATTTTAATATTATTAATACTCAATTATGTATATTTGACTCTTGTATTAAATAAAAGAAATCCTATTTTAATAAATTGTAATATTTAATTTAGTAATATTATAATTTATATATTAACGAAGTATTAATTTAAATTATTAAAAAATATGGTCACAAGTCAATAATAATAAATTCCAGTCATAAATAGCGTTTATTTAAAAAGTCCTCACTGAAGTTAAAATAATGTTTCTTATACTTTACTAATAAATACATCCCCTTACATTACAGTAAAAAAATAAAAATATAAATATATAAAAAATAAAATAAAGTTGTGTGATGTGACATACATATAAGATTTGAGAAAAATAAGTAAAAGTAAGCTAAAAGTGAAATTTATAATTTGGAAATTATATTAAGAAAATATAAAATTTGAAAGATAAAGAAAAAACGAGGATTTTTTTTTTTTTGCAAAAAAAGAAGATTAAACTTAAAAGGAATTATTTATTATGTATTCAATAGAAAAAATAGTAAAATAAAATATGTTCACCAAAAAAAAAGTAAAACAAAATATCACATCACTTTCAAAGGAAATTTTCATTTTGTGATATAAAGGTGGATATATAATATTATTCCTTTTTTGGGTACAGATGTATAATATTATTCTAAAACATATTAGACACGTGTATCATGTTGCAACCATATTCATATAAAAAATCAGGATAGTTATTCTATCTATTTTTTTATATCTATATTTAATATTATTAAATCAGAATATATACTAACATTTATTATTTCTCTATTTTTTTTAATTTCGATGTAAGGAGATTAATAGGTATAATAGAAGGGTTATATTTATCTTATTTTACCTGAAATAACTAAATTATCTACCCACAAATGATAAATGAGTCCTTTTTTTTCTCTCTCTTCTTGTCTACGAGTTTTACTTACAATCTTATTTATATAACGTAAATAACGTTAAAAAATTATTTCCCATAATAGAATAACTCATCTCTAAAATTGAATACTAAAAATAAAAAACTAAAATACAAAGTCAAGAACTAAAGTCTTACAGAAGCTATGAAATTATGAACATAGAAACAAGTACCGACAACACTTCAAACTTTTTTTTTTTCAGTACAAACAACAGTTCAACCTTAACACGCGGCGAAAAGAACTCTCTTTCCCTCGCCACCGCGACGCACCACCGCATCGCTTCCCTCCTCCACCTTCTTCTTCTTCTCCTTTCTCTTTCAAAACACTCTCTCTCTCTCTCTCTGTGTGTCACCCCAAAACAAGAAAATCTCAAAGTCCGTTTCTTTATACCTGCAATTAATAGAGTAACTGATTAAGCTCTCTCTCTCCCTCTCTCTCTCTCGCTCTCTTCAAAACAACATATCAGTTACATTTTTTCTCTCTCTCTTTCTTTATTTCTACCCTTCTCTTCTTCTTCAACTCCCAACTTCTTCATATTGGGTCTTCAAAAAATCTTCCACCTTTAATAAATTCTAGCATTTATAAAACCCAGAGAAGACAATAAATTTTAAATTTTTTTATTTTCATTTGTCAAAGCTTAAAATTTCCAGTGTGTGCAATTTGTCTATTTTCTTTCTCCCTTTGTTAAATGGTCCCTTATTTCTCTCCTATGTAATTATTACCATTTCCTTCCCCTTTTTATTTTAATTGATTCTCTTCTTCATATCACCACTCTATCAAATTGATTATGGCATAATGCAAATCTCTCCCCAGAAGGAAAGTGGTAAATCTCTCTCTCTCTCTCTCTCCAAAAATACTTGATTAAATTATCCTTAGTCTAATCACAAAAAAATAAAATAAAAAATTATCCTTATATGACACCCTCCCTTTGTTGATGCTAGATAATGAGTGAGACTTGAGAGCTTCCTAGATATCCAAAAACCACTCTGTCTCAGAAAAAAGAGTGTTTGAGAAAGACCCATTTCCTCATTCATCTAAAATTTCTCAGTGGTTTGGTGTTGTAGGGGGTTTTGAGGATTTTCTGTCACTTTACCGGGAAAATCTCTGATCGATCGCCGAGAAAATGTCCTCCACAACCTCCTCTGTGTCCTGTTGCTCCGGAAATTCTCCCTCGAACCTGGAACGCTTTCTTCAGTGTGTCACTCCTCTTGTTCCTTCACAGACTCTACCTCAGGTATTTTTTTATTTTATTTATTTTTTCCCATTTTTATTTTTCAGCTTTTTCTTTTCTTTTTTCGGTTTTGGGTCAGCGTTTCACGCTCAAGGTGCTAATCTTTCTCTTCTTCCTTTTCTTTGTTCCGTCAATTCATCGGACGGTGCATTTGTTTGTTTGATTGTGTTTCTTTATTTAATTTTTTATTCTCACTTCTTCACCCAATATATATATATATATATAGATATATAGATAGAAAGATTGGAGTATTTGTTATTTTAAATGACATAATTTTATAATTTTCTTTCATAAAAAGTGAGATCCATACTTTTATTTTTGTGTTTACTCTTTCTCTCTTTATTTATATCTTTATTTCATTAAAAATGACATAACTTTACGTCTTTTAAAATGATATATATCTTTTTCATATATATATATATATAGTTTAATCTTCGTTTTTATCCATCTAGATTCTTTATCCTGTTTATGTATATATTTTTTAATTATGTGATTAATATTATTCGTATTATAAATTTTTTCTTTTATTGTGTGGTTTATGTTTTTTTTTTTTCTTTTTACATGAATCTCACGTAATATATGTGTGGGAGATAAAATTCAATATTTTTAAGAGATATATATTTCTAAGAAATATATATCTTAGAACATTAATCTCTTAAAATAAATATATATTTTTAAGAGAAGGAGTAGGTTAAATTCGATATAAAATTAAGAAGTTTTTACTTTTCATAGATTTTTGTCCTTAATTTATTTGTTTATAATTTATTTAAAATTAATAATTAATTAATTGATATAATTTAATTAATTCAAATTATTAAATGTACGTATGGAAATTTACTGATGATATAGCTAAATGGAAGTAAAACTTTATACCTCTTAATTTTTTTTTAAAATTTTTTGATTAAAACTTATTTTTATCTCTAAAATAGCTAAATTAAAACCTACCTTATTTTTATCTCTAAAATAGCTAAATTCAAACCTGTCTTTAATCTGTATAGGGAAGGACGGAAAGTGGATATAAAAAATTAAAAGATGGACTCATGTTGATTTATATGTTTCTTTAGTACAATTTAATATGAAAAATATTTGTGATTTTAAATGATGAATTTTTTTTAGTTAAAAATAGTTTTTTTTTTATTTAAAATTTAAATTAAAAAATATCTCTTAAACTTTCTTTCATAATTTTCGTTATCTATCTTTTTTTCTTAATTAAAATAATATAATTTTATGTCATTTTAAAAGATAAACATTAATCTCATTTAATATAGGTTTTAATATTTCTAAAGTGAATGTAGATAAATTATTTACATTTGTTCTCAAAACGACGTCATTTTGGGTTAAAAGATTATAATAATAAAGATTATTATAATCCTAAAATAAATTATAATTTCAAAAATATCTTATTTTCGTCTCAAAACGACATCGTTTTGGGCTCAACGTAGATTGACGGTAGAAAAATGGAACCCTTTAATATATTATCAGTTCTCATGTAATAAATGTCAATATCGTTACCTGTTTTGTTAATTTTTTTTCCTTGTATGTTTAAGATTTAATTTTAGATATTATGAAATTATTAACTCTCTAGAATTTTCTTTTGTCCTATCCTATTTACCACAAGATTTTTCAAATATTAAATTATTAGTAAAGAAAAATATTAAATTAAAAAATGGATGCATTTAATTTTTTGATAACATAAAAAGCATATAACCTTTTTCTTATTTATTAATAAAGAGAATTCTTAAAATCATTAAGAATTGTTTTATTCAAGCATTATGAAGTCAGTTGTTAATGTATAATTTATTATTTGAGCTGTTGATAAACATTTAATAATTCATTAAGTAGTTTACAGATAATGTTACAACATTAACTATCATTAAACAATTAGACATTAATGAAAATGTGCTAATGTATGATTACATGTTAATGTCAATTGAGTTATGGTTCTGATTATCTGTTTTATTTTTTATTTTATTTATTTGGCACTCCCTTTCTCTTTCTGGGACTGTGTTGTGGGTGTGGGGTCGGAGGAGTTTATCACCATTCACCAGTCGGAGCAGACTTTTATATATTAATAATGGAGAGTGGTCTGAACGGTGTCGTAAAGTAACAAAGCTTTTGTTCTGTGTAGGGAATATTCGTTTGATGCCTCTTGAAAAATCTTCCTCCACGTGTCTTTTTTTCAATTTTATTGGTACATGTGGGAAATGTCATTGTTGATGTTAACACAAAAGTTAGCTTATTAGTGGAAATGGCAATTGTTATTTATTTTTTTGGATTTTGTTATTTACACACAAAATTGATATACTTTTTCACATACTTCCATATGGTCCTTTCTGTCTTCTTTTTTATTTATGTTCTCTTATTTATTTTTCTCAACCTTTTCTTGTTTTTTATTTGAGTTCATAAACCAGTGTTCTCTGCTACTTTAAGATAAAATGATGTTGATGTTCTTTGTTTGGAAAAATAAGAACAAGAAGAGCGCACACTGAAATATATGCTTTTGATTTTATCATTGAAAAAGAGAGTGATATAAATATATTAAAAGTAATGCACAAATTTCATTGTAAGATTAATCCTTTGTGTGGATGAGACATTACCCTTAATCTTTTCCTCAATTTAATGTGAGAAAAGAAAGTTAATGACCAATTAACTGAATCTGAAGCACTTTTCTTGTAAGCCTTGAATTTGATAACATCTACAATAATCCTTCTTTGGTTGACAATATACAAATCTTCTGGAATAGGTAGTGAGACCTTTTTTTTTTTTTTTTTTTAATTTCAATAATATTTGACTTAGTGATTATCAGTCAGAAACCTGGTTCCTGAGATGGAGAAAAAAAAAATCTCATAAAATCTTTGTGATTACTTTCTTTGAGGAGAATCTGCGGGTTTGTGTTCTATTAAGGCATAAATAATTTTTTTTAGTCAAAAGTGATTTTCTGTAGAAAGTTATGGTACTTGATTTGATTAGGAGAGACACCAAAGGTTTCTTCTCCTATTGGGCTTGTGGGATGTGACATAGGCCAACCTTTGAAGATAAACCTTAAATTTTCTTTAAGGAGATAAGAGTGCATTTGTTTCTGGGGGCTCCACATTGATCATTCCATCTATGGGACCAATGCCACTGGTTTTTATTAGTGATCCAGTGAGAAATGATGTTTCTAGTACTAGTATTATTCATTTATTGTGGCAACCTATTATTGAAAAAAGATGTTTCCACTGGGAATTCCCATTTACTTTTTCTAACTTACACATTACAATGTTATTATGCAGTTTTCTATCAAACTCAACAGTTGTAGAGAATCGCTAGATGCTTTTTTCTATTCTAAAGGGGACAAATGTGGAGGGTGGTGTTATTGAATATACTAGGCTAGCAGCATTGCTTTTTAGTTGTTACTGCTTATAGTGGTTAATGACTTCATTGGCAATTGCTCCTATTTTTAGTATATCTCTTAACTCTTACTACTTGGTAGTCAAAACATGGTTGTGGATTCAGGATTGTGTGTCTCGCATTTTATGCATCCACACTTGGTTTCCTACAAGTAACTTCTTTTGCAATATTTGACACAATGTAGTACTCCTATAAATGTCTCATTTTTTGCATAGATAGCATTGAATTGTTGGTCCTCTTGTAATAAACTATGTTATTTCTAGTCAGATATAGAGTGGAAGTAAAGTTGTGTTGGTGTTGTCTATGATTTAATTTGCCTCTTTTTCCTGCTTTTAGTTAAAAGTTAGAAATATTGCTATTCATTCTATTGTAAAGGCAGAAGGAACATTCACATGCTGATTTGCTTCCTTAATTTTCATTGCTTTTATCATAATTTGCAGAGCTGCCATAATGATCTAAATAGCCTCTGGCAACCACTCGGTAAGGATACAATCGAATACTTCACTCTGAAAGATCTCTGGGACTGCTATTATGAATGGAGTGCATATGGTGCTGGTGCACCTTTGATGTTAGAGAGTGGTGATACTGCGATTCAGTTCTATGTTCCTTATCTTTCTGCTATCCAAATCTACAGCAATAAATCTGTTGCAGCTTCTCGGTACGTAGAAGACAATGCTGTATATGCTTGTATACTAAATGTGTCAACAAAATGGTACAAGTCATCTTCCTCTTTTCTCTTTTCTAGGAATCGGAGAGAGGATAGCGATGGAGTTGAATTTGAAAGTGATTCGTGGAGTGATGATAGCGGAAGTGATAACTTATCGAGATCATTAAGCAACAATTCCAGCAAATCTTGGGATGCTGTTTCTGAGGATTCAAGCTGTGATCAGGAGGGGTCATGGCTAACAAGGGAAAAGCTTGGCTACCTTTACTTGCACTATACTGAGATGTCTTCACCTTACTCCAGGGTTCCGCTTATGGAGAAGGTAGCCTTTTCTTGTCAAGTAGTATTCACTCTTCACTACCTTATATCAGTGGCAATATAGACTTATTGATTTGTATGTTACACAAATCACAACACATCACTTTTGATTGTTTTTTGTTACAGATACCTGAGCTAGCTAGAACCCACCCGGCATTGATGACGTTGAAGAGCGTGGATCTTTCCCCGGCAAGTTGGATGGCTGTTTCTTGGTGAGCATAATCTGTTGTTCTTGTTATATACAACTCTATTTGTAAATTTCACGATGCCCATTTTAGTCCCTAGCAAATAAAAAGGCTATTCGTGATCCCTAAGAAATTCAAAATGGCCCCATTTTAGTTCTTTTGAGGGACTAATGTGAGTCTTTTTTGAATTTATGAGGGACTACGATTTCAACTAAATAGGTCCATTTTGAATTTCTTAGGGACCACGAATAGCCTTTTTATTTGCTAAGGATTAAAACGGGCATCGTGAAATTTGATGAAGACCAAAAAGGATATTTACTCTTATTTTAATTAAAGACAAAATTGATATGTTTTGGTGATTCAGTAGACAAGATGAAGTCTATAGCAACAATGATATAAACTGGAGTTGGGAGAGGACTCTTCTCTTGCTCAACTTTTAGTTCTCTCACTACATAGGATTAGGAATACTGTTATCATTTTGTAATTCTAATTTCCGTATTTTTTTATTTATATAACTTTCTGTAAGATGTCTAGTCTCTGTTGGTTTCCATGGTTGAATGATGTACTCTTCATCATTGAATAGGTACCCAATTTATACCATCCCAAGTCGCAAAAATGACAAGGACTTGGAAGCATGCTTCCTCACTTATCATACATTGTCATCATCTTTCCAAGGTATCTTGATGTAATTTTTTTCTAATCAATGTTGTCTTTTTCTTGTTTCTGAACATACTATGCTTTATTTTCCCATAATTTTCTGTATTGTTGCATGTTTCAACGATATCTATGGGTCCTCTGCATCATATCCGTTTGAGGTTTCCTGGTGTTTCTCATTATTCCAAAAATGCATAGGCTTAACCTTCTTTGTGGTAAATGTAATGTGTTCTTTGTGCTTCCGAAGGAGTTAAGCGCTGTCCCATTAAATTGTGGAGTGCTAGGAGTTGATAGCGTCATCCTTGAAGTAATTAAAGTTATAATTGACGTCCAAATTTTAATTGAATTCATGATATGGTATGACATTAATGGATTTTCAATCTAATATCATGCAGTCTGTTTATGCGCATGTGTGAGTTATAAGTGTGATTAGATGAGCATGCATAAGAGTTAAAACAAAATTGTTGTAAACCTGGCTTTTGATCTCATTTCTGCTGAAAATTTTGTTATTTTTCATGTGTGTATGCAGATTGTGCAATGGAGTGTGATGAAATGGACATAGGAAACGATATATGTTATTCCAGCTGGTGGGGAAGTATTGTAGGAGAAAAATGCAAGAAAAAGCAGAGTGGGTGCATATCTGTCCCTCCTTTTGGGCTAGCTACTTACAAAATGCAAGGTGACCTTTGGTTAGACCAAGAGCCTTATGTTAATGAAAGGGTGTCCTATCTGTACAGTGCTGCAGACTCATGGTTAAAACAGCTCAATGTGAATCACCATGACTTCAACTTTTTCACATCAAACTCTACCATGTAAATTAGTTGGTGTGAGTGTCCATCAACCTTAACAGTTGACTTGGCCTTTATTTAGCTTTGAACTCTGACACCGGCAGAAAAAGAAAAAAAAAGAGAGTTCCCCTTGGTGCAATTCTGAAAACATTCAGAAACTGAGGAGTTATATCTCAAAAGAGTGTATAACCCTTAAGCTATGTACAAATTTTGTTAATGGGGGATGAGTTTTTTTAACTACCATTTTGGTTTTTTTTATGCTACTTTTCCTAGAAACCGTATAACAGTTTGTTTTAGGTAACTGAACTATATTTTGTATTATAGTCTTTTCTGTTTTTACAAACATGTTCTTACTTGAATTTTGTATATATATTTTCGCTTTCTTTTAATCTTGATTCAGGGCAGAAGCAACTAGTATCAATGTTATCGGTCATTGACCCGATCGAGGTATTGGGTTATTGGTTCAACCGCATGACCCGATAATTATATGCAATTTCATAATTTATATTAAAAAATTATAAACATACTCAAATATCTAAAAAATAATAATAAATTTTTTAAATATTTTAATATAAAAATAATAAATTACATATTATTATCTAATAAAGGATCAAACAAAAATATAATGATCGTGATACGAGACTTTAGGTTCAGAAGATATCTCTTATTATAAATCAATTCAAAATTTTCTGCATAGTGCATAATTGAGATAATATTAGTGTTGCAGATACATAACTTATGTAAGTCAGTAAGCAAAAAAATATTTAAATATGTCCATTATGATTTTTTTTGACAAAAAAACAATTTTGGATTTTTTTTTTTTGGGACCGGGTCTGGTCATTGGTTAATCGGGTCGCCGATTTTCATGAAAATCAGTCGGGTTGCACCGGTTCTGATGCATGGCTGGTCCGTTACTTCAACCAGACCGGTTATATGATCGGTTTACCGGTTCCCGGGTCAGTCAGATTTTATCAAACACTGACTAGTATTGTGTAGTATAAATAAACAATTAAGGGAGCCAATTTAATCTTGGTTGTTTAAGAAGATTTTCTTGACAAATATAATTTTCTATACTCGGAGAGTGTATATTCAACAAATAGTGTTTTAAAAAAATAGCACCACTAGGATTAACCTAGTGGTGTTGGGTGTGTGTAGTGTGTATTAAGTTGCAAGTTCGATTCCTGTAATATTCAAAAATAAAATAAAATAATGTGCATTTAATGCTAATAATAAGTATTTAATAAAAACTATTTTAGAGAAAATATATTTTTTATTTTTGTCAATTTGTATTTTCGAATAATTGATTTGTTATTTTGAATAAAAAAATTAATTTTATTAAATATTATTTCTAACCATTTTTTTTCTACTAAAAAAAGGAATGGCATGAAGCACATCATTTGTTTCGGAAAAACGCAGATAACACAATTAATACTCTTCTATGTGAATTCATGGTATCAAGTATCAACCACTCTATAAAATGTTTGCTTGAGATGTAAAAATTGTTGATAATTTGTGACGTGAAGTGCCGCACTTGCTAGTTTTAAAGAAGAACAATTTTTGTTTACCAAAAAAAAATAATAACAATTTTTTAGTTTATTTTTCAAATTTCATTCTCTTAACTTTGTTCCAATAGCAATCATTCTTAAACTTGAAAAAAAGAAAAAGAAAAAGTCACCATTCGTACATGACATTGGGGTAAAAAATTTCTAATGCTTAACGCTGTTCCTAATTGTCTATTAAAAACAACGTTTTTGCATGTAAAATTTTTGCTATATGTGTGAAATATAGCAAGTGCGTACACTAAATTATTACTGGAATTAAGAGAAGTTGATTTAAAGATCACGTAATCATTTAAAAAAAAAAAAAACCTATATGACATTTTTTTGGGTTTATAAAAGGTTTAGGAAAATAAAATTTATTTTCATTATAAATAATAATTTAAATATCAAATTAGATATTAAAATGGGGAGATCTTTATGTCAAAATTTTGATTACTTTAACTAGTTAAATGATATTTAAATTAGAGAGATAATCACTTTATAATCCAATCAATTAATTCAAATTAGAGTTGGGTGAGCTCATCCCGGACTTGATAAGCTTTTAACCTAACAAAAAAAGAAAATAAGACGCAATATTGATCCATTTTTTTAAATATGATTGAAAAATACCCATCTATATCCTTTTATGGTGAGATTAATTGGCAAAAAAATTAATTAAGTATAAGTTAAAAAAAAAATTATGAATTTATTGCCTTTTTGAAACTATTTACACATGTATTGCAGTATGTCACGCCCTGATTGGGTATCACCAATCACGCCTAAAGGAGGCGTTAATGCCACATAGGTGACACCTCATTTAGGCGTCACCTATCGTGCTCAAACCAGACGTGATATGTGGGGCCTATATAAACCCAATTTTTTTCACTTTTACCATTTCACTCTCTCTCTAACTTCTCTCTAGACGTTGTTGCTCTCCCCTTCGCGAAAAATTGGTTAGCGAAGCTCGTGAAGTAAGTTTTTAATATCTATTTTCTATATGTTTAAATTACAATAATAGATTAGGAATATGTTAGTGATTTGGGAATTTATTAATGACTTAGGAAACTGTTAGTGACCTAGAAATATCAAGTGACGTAGAAATTGTGTAGTAACTTAGGAAAGTTTTAGTTACTCAGGAATTAATGTTATTGACCTACGAATTAATTAGTGGCTTAGGAATTTTATAGTTGTTTAGAATTTTTTGTGTGCTTTATAAAATTGATATTGACTTAGGTAATGAATATTGACCTAGAACAAGTAATTGGAATTATCATATATTATAATTTAATTTAGACGATAATCTTGTACGAGACATATACATTATTTATAAATAAAATAATTTTAAATCTTGTAATTAGTTGTAAATTAAATTATTTTAAATGTTGTATTACACATGTATATATAATTAGAATATAAATTAATGGTAACAATAAATTTATTATTTTTTATAGTATTTTATCATGGGTGATTCGTCATCATCTGGGGGGCTCTGCATCTGATCATGAGCCAGAGCCTACTGATCTCAGTATGTATATCATACCTAGACCGTATAGGTGGGAGGTCTTCAGGAAGAGGACGCAGAGTGCACACATTTCACAACACGTGTGGAATACTTAGCATGTTCATCAGCTGAAGACCCGACGCGATAAGATGCAGGGAGGCCACCTCCCAACGATATTCTTCACGTGGTCGCAATTAGCTCACCCAGGCAGGATTTATACATGTCAAACGCATGCGACATATTCAGGTATGCACTTTAGGATGTAATATATTATATTGTTATTCAATATGATCATTTAAATAATGACATATGGTGTGATAATTGTATTATGTACTTAAGATTGATGCTGCCCTGATTAGTGCTTTGGTCGAGAGGTGAAGACCAGAGACACGTTCATTTCATATGACACAAGGTGAGATGACTATCACCTTGCAGGATGTGGCCGTTATATTGGGATTGCTTACTGATGGGCAAGTAATGGAACGTAATAGAATTCATTTCGGGAGAATCCTCATAATTGTTGTTGGTTCTCTGCGAAAACCCTTGTTCATTCTTAATTGCATCCTTTCGTTCATTCCAATATGAATACTTCTAGCATTCTTGAATGGTTTTAGGTTCTGGATCCAGATTATCTCTTGAGACAACAAGAGCTACTGAGAAGGCAATGGTGTCACCAATGACAGATAATAGTGTCATATTTTCCTCCCATAACACTATAGTGTATTACAACTTTTATATTAACACCAACCAAATCTTTCTTGTTTCCCATGACATTCAGATTTGGTTGTTCCGTATTCCTGGGATTGTTGCAATTAGCAGCTAGATTTATTTCACCGGGTTCTCTTTCTTCAAGATAAACGTCTTCAGGAGATGCGATGAGTGACTTATTTTTATTTTTCCGTAGATATATGTCTTTTGCCCTTGTAGGTTATTAACGCTTTTAGCGTTGACTAGACTCAGACATATTTTATAGCATTAAATTTTCCACTACAGTTGAATCATTTTATGTATAGATATGGGACTTAATCACTCATTTGTGATTAGAAATATTTGGCTTTTCTCTTGTTAAAATTTGCAAGTTAACGATATTTTGAAGACTAATAAAGCCTTGGGACCTGAAGGGGTCCCTATTGAAGTGTGGAGAGGCTTGGGGGATGTGGCAATAAAATGGTTGACCAATCTTTTCAATAAGATTCTCCAGACAAATAAGATGCCTGATGCATAGAGGAAAAGTATGATTGTGCCTATCTACAAAAACAAGGGAGATATATAGAATTGTTCAAACTATAGAGGCATTAAGCTAATGAGCCATACTATGAAGTTATGGGAGAGGGTTATTGAGCATCGCTTGAGGAGAGATACCAAGGTTTCTGTAAATAAATTTGGATTTATGCCATGAAGATGTACCATGGAAGCCATTTTCTTGATGCGACAACTAATGGAAAGATATCGAGAAAAGAAGAAGGACTTACATATGATGTTCATAGACCTTGAGAAAGCATACGATAGGGTTCCAAGGAAAGTTTTATGGTGGGTTCTGGAGAAGAAAAAGGTACCATCAAAGTATGTAAAGGCAATCAAGGATATGTATGACGGGGCTACTACATGTGTGAAAGCTTGTAACGGAACATCAAGTTATTTCCCTATCACGGTAGGTGTACACCAAGGCTCAGCTCTAAGTCCTTATCTCTTTGCCTTAGTTATGGATGAACTAACAAAAGATATTCAAGAGGAAGTGCCATGGTGTATGCTTTTTGCAGACGATATTGTGCTTATTGATGAGAGCAAGGATGGTGTTAATAGAAAACTTCAATTGTGGAGAAGCACATTGGAATCTAAAGAATTCACATTAAGTCAAAGCAAGACTGAGTATCTGAAGTGTGAGTTTTCTCTGGTAAGAGATGTAGACCAAGATCCCGCGCATCTAAGTGATCAAGAGGTACCCAAGAAAGACGCTTTTAAATACCTGGGCTCTATTTTGCAAAAAGGTGGAGAGATTGAAGATTGATGAGGATGTAAACCGTAGAATCAGAGCAGGGTGGATGAAATGGCGCAGTGCATCTGGATTTTTGTGTGACCGCAAAATCCCCCTTAAGTTAAAAGAAAAATTCTGTAAAACAGCAGTAAGACCCGCAATGCTATATAGAGCTGAATGCTGGCCAGCACATAGGCAGCGTGAGCATAAAATGGGAGTAGCAGAGATGAGGAAGTTAAGGTGGATGTGTGGTTATACGAGGATGGATAAGATAAGA